AAAACAAAACGTGCAGGATTACAAAAGAAACTAATTACTTTTATATAATGGATACAATTATCAAAATTTAAAAAAAAAAAGTTCAGGGACCTCAGGTTCAGAACCTCTGCTCTAAGGTTTTAATCTTCCAGCTCTAAATTTGAGCTTGTGATCTTAACAGTAGTGAGGACAGTGACAAAAGGCCAGTGGATGTTAGGATTAGAGGTCAATGATGACGTACACATTCAAAAGTGTTGGGAAATCAAATATAATTCAATAGCCAAAGTCAACACTTGTCTATAATTTTTGTCAGTTACATAAAGTTTCCAACTCTCACAATTCATAGTGTTGACTGAGCACCTACTATGTGTTAGGGGCAGCTAAGTGGCACAGTGGATAAATAGAGTGCTGGGCTTGAAGTCAGGAAGACTCATCTTCCTGAAGACTCTTACTACCTGTGTGACCCTGGGCAAGTCACTTAACCCTGTTTGCCTCAGTTTCTCATCTGCAAATGAGCTGGAGAAGTTAATAGCAAACCACTCCAGTATCTTTGTCAAGAAGGCCCCAAATGAGATCACAAAGAGTCAGACATAATTGAAAAACACAACAATTATGAGTTCAAGAGAACAATATACCTATAATTATCAGGTAAGTAAAAGTGAAACAAGGTAGTGCTCAGAACAAATGCCACATGAATAACATTTTAAAACCTATTTTTGCAAGTAAGAGCCTCTCTCACCCCACTCCATTATTTCTAGTTATTGGGTTTGTTTGCTTTTTTTCTTCTAATTTATTCATTATTTCCACTATCTGAAAATTAAGGACTTAAAAGGAATTTAGGTCTAAAAGCAAAGGCTTATCTGAAAGCAGAAGACAGATTCCAGGCTTCCTGCAAAAAGCACATGGCTTTCATGTAAAGTTACATGTTTGGATGATTCTGTGGACTAAGCCTAAACCACAGTTTCAATTCAATTCCAATGAGGTCTGAGCTGAAGAAATAATTAGCCAAATTTTCAGAACATGGCCAGAACTGTGTTTAAGCTAGTCTGGATTTAAACTGAAGCCAGGGCTCGAGTTTTTGATTTCATTTTTGTTTTGTTTTCCCTAGGATGTCCAATGTAGAGCCTACAGGGGCAGCTAGGTGGCGCAGTGGATAGAGTACCAGCCCTGGAGTCAGGAGGACCCGAGTTCAAATCCAGACTCAGACACTTGACACTTACTAGCTGTGTGACCCTGAGCGAGTCACTTAACCCCAACTGCTTGGCCCAAAAAAAAAGAAATTAATTTTGTGTCTCATGAAACTAAGACTTATCTGTGTGTTAAGCAAACACGGTTAATTTCACCTCTTCTGTTTTCAGATACTATATGAGGCCAGCACATTGAAAAGTTATCCCAAGAATGGAGGAAGGGAGGTGCTGTGTAACGAAGACTGCAATGTTGGTGATGGGTCCTATGTGGGCATTCCAAGGGCAGGTACCCTCAGGGCAGAGAAGGATAAAACTTTGTTCTAGAGTTTGTGTTCCTATGTCCAAAGTTTGATTTATTCAGGAAAAAGGAGAATGAGGTGAAGGTGGAAATTGGAATGCAGAATGAAATAAAGATAAAAGACAGGGGAATGAAATGTGGCAATCCAGATGGGTAAGAAAGTATACATCATGGACGAGTAAGAGTTAGGTGCCATGGGGCACAGGCATTTTCCTAAGTATCTCTGATATGGAAAAACATAAATAATGGTTGTTGTTGTTATTGTTAAGTCCTATCCAACTCTTCATGGCTCTATAGTGGGTATTCTTGACAAAGATACTATCGTGGCTTGGCATTTCTTTATCCAGCTCATTTTGCAGATGAGGAAACTGAGGCAATTAAGTGACTTGCCTAGGGTCACACAGCTAGTAAGTGGCTGAGGTCGGGTTTGAACTCAGTAAGATAAGTCTTCCTGACTCCAGGCCTGGCACTCTATCCACTGCACCACCTAGCAGCTAACATTTATACAGTGCTTACGATGTGCAATAAGTACAGTGCTAAGCATTTTACAATTATTAACTCATTTGCTATTCACTAACATTAATATAACACTTAAAAGTTTACAAAGTGCTTTTTGTTCATTAACTTATTTGAGCCTCAGGATGGTGTTTTGTGGTAGGAACTCACAGGTATTATCCCCATTTGACAAATATGGATAAATGATTTCATCATGGTAACAGCATTGAGAGGCATGACTTGAACCAAATCTTCCTGACTCCAGTACCAGCAATCTATACACTATACTACCCTGCCTCTCTGTTTATCTGTATTATCATATTATCATCCCCATTTTATAGAAAAGAAAACTGAGGCAAACAGATGTTTAAATGACTTGCTCAGGTCACACAGCTAGTAAGGATCTGAGGTATAATTTAAACTCAAGTGTCCCTGCCTCCAGGCCTAGCACTATCCACTGCACCACCTAGCTGCCCTTGCATCAAAAGCATGGGCACACCCTAGAAGCCCAAGGCTTCTGCCAGATGTGGTAGAGCATGGCCTGGGTTAGGATCTGGAGAACAGAACAGGTATGGTGAACCTCTCTCTAAAGATTAGACTTGATTAGCATAAAAAGTCAAGCATAATGCAATGGATTTATTTTATAACAGAGGACTGAATAGACTGAAGAGTCAGTAGAAATTTTCAGATACTATTTTTTTCCTGATACACTTTAAACGTAAAGCTAAACGAAATTTTGTCTAGTCTTGCCAGCATACCTGGAGGACAATTCAATGAGTCTGCAACAATTATTCACAAGTGGATTCTTTTCTTTTTTAATGTCTTGTTTCATACAGAACAGTAATATCATTCAGGGACATATCAAGGGAAGCAAATAAATACTTGGAAATGGACCATATGCTCCAAAAGAAATACTTTTATATCTATCAAAACCAACTGAGAGAGTCTTCAAGCTCACAAAATAAATCTCCCTCCTGCTAAGACAACATCTATGACTCTACCAGATCCTTTTATTAATGAGTGACAAGCAAACATCTAAATTCCAGAAAACAAATGCACTACTGTTCATCAGCCTGATAACTTTCAAATATTCCTCAACATATGCCCCTCGCCAATTCTTTCTTTTCACAATACATCACATTTGCCAAACAGCTGCCCATTGATGTTTTCAATTCCATTACAACAGATGGGTCATTTAAACTGGAGGCAGTTTGAGTTTTCAAGGAAGGAGGCTGACTCCACCAACAGGAACACCTCTGCCCTCCATAATCCATAACTCTGCCCCAAGACTTATCAGTAAACACTCTAAATAACAATAACTTTAATATAGCACTTTAAGGATTATAAAACATTATATAGATACAGATATAGATATAGATATATATCTCACTTATTACAATCCCCACTTTATAGATGAGGAAACCAGTCCAGAGATTAAGCGACTTCTTCGGATTCCATATCCTGTAAGTATCTGAGGCAGGATTTGAACCCAAGTCTTCCCAACTCAAAGTCCAAAACTCTATCTATTGGACCACCTAGCTCCCTCTTCAAACAAGTTGTCATACATAGTCTCTGAAATTCTCATCTTCAAGAGACTTCTCGCTTTAAGCGGCTGACAAGAGTTCAAATATTAATTCTGGATAAAAACCAAGTAGCAGGCTAAATTAGTAGCTAGAGAATCCTTGGGTGTCTTGGGAAAGGTCTCAACTATGTGGTGTTTTTTTTTCCCCCTTTTAGCTATCTTGCAAATAAAAGAATAGAGAAAGAGCTGTCCTAAAGAACAGCTAAGAGGATATCACCACTTTGCCAAAAGAAAAACCAAAAGTACTGAGATCACTATCATTCTTTGAGCCCTTTCTTTATGAAGGTTTTCCTCTTTATTATTTCTAATCTCAAAATCAGAAAATGTAGAGGTCCAATTCCTGATCCCACCACTGATTTATGGCATCCAAAAACACTGTGGTAGTGTTATTTAATTAAATCAAAATTATTAATTAATTATTAATTAATCAGAAATGAAACCAAAATTATCACTGGTTTAGCCCCCTTTGGAGGAGTTTGGGCATTTCTTTAAGACATTTATGAAGAGTTCATTTTGAGAATATAGATAAACAGAGAGGCAGGGTAGTATAGTGGATAGACTGCTGGTACTGGAGTCAGGAAGATTTGGTTCAAATCATGCCTCTCAATGCTGTTACCATGATGAAATCATTCACCCACATTTGTCAAATGGGAATAATACTTGTGAGTTCCTACCACAAAACACCATCCTGAGGCTCAAATAAGTTAATGAACATAAAGCACTTCATAAACTTTTAAGTGTTATATAAATGTTAGTTATTATTAGGGTTATAAATTCAATACAGTGGCATTCCTTATACAAGAATCATTTACTCTAAGAAATAACTCTCCTCTGTCTTACAAACAGAAGAACCAATAGCCACCCAAGTGACTTCAGAGCCCGTGGTATCACACAGAAGCAGCATGTACCTGGGTCTCTGTGACATTTGCAAATTCCTTAACTTCTCTACGTAGTAGAAATATGCCAAGAATTGGATAATGTCTCTACAGCACTGAAGAATTTCTCTCAAAAATGCACTGTATAAACTGAAGGTAGCATTGAGTCCATTCACTCAGCCTCCATTGCTCAACTATCTACACTTGGAGACCTTTCTCAGGCCAACTAGTCTTTGAAAACACTGTGTGTGCTCTTTTAAATAAACAAATAAATCCTAGTTTTACTTCTTATAGAGATATAGCAACATCTGTTACTACTGTCATAGAAAAATATCAGAAAACTTTTGTACACAGGGAACTAAACATTTCAGAACTCAAATAGAATAGTAGGACACTAAATGAAATGGCTTCACTTTTCGCTTAAAAATAAGACAATGTCATTAAATGAACTCTGCAATCTTTTATCTTGAAAACCACAATTGATAAAAACATATTTTCCTATGACTCACGGAAAACAGCTGGACACATCTGTCAACAATCCAGCTCTTCAATGACAGAGAACCTTAAAGCTTTAATATACTTACATGTGAGGACTCAGTTCATAAAAATTTCTATTCCTGTAATCTTCCACTTTCTCTGGTGAATAAATGGGCAATGATCGGTATGGATTCACTGATATAACCACACTTCCAATGTATGTCTGTAATGAAAAAAGAAAAAAAAATTATCCATTAACGTAGATAAACATCATTTTAGGTTAGAATTTTAGCATTTTTTTTAATCCTTCACAACACAGCATCATTCCTAACATGTCACTATTACTTGCATACTCTTATTTTTTTTAGTTTTTTTTTTTGTTTTGTTTTTTGCTAGGCAATGAGGTTAAGTGACTTGCCCAAGGTCACACAGCTAGCAAGTGTTATGTGTCTGAGGCCAGATTTGAACTCAGGTCCTCCTGAATCCAGGTCCAGTGCTCTATCCACTGCACCACTGAGCTGCCCCTTTTACTTGCATACTCTTCAGGAAAGCTTTAGCATCTCCTAGCAGATGATCTGTCTTGTTTATTCCATTAGATGACGAATGAGAAGTAGAGATCTATTCTCTTAAAGATCTTTAAAAACCATAACTACCTGGGGCAGCTAGTGGTGCAGTAGATAGAGCACCAGCCCTGAAATCAGGAGGACCTGAGTTCAAATTTGGCCTCAGACCAAACACTTGGCACTTACTAGCTGTGGGACCCTGGGCAAGTCACTTAACCCCAATTGCCCTAAACAAACAAACAAACAAAAAAAAAACCTCAAAATACCTACAATTACCTAGCGTGGGGAAGGGGGAGGGGAGGAAGAAAAAAATATATATGATAATTTTATTATATATCTGAAGGGAATAGCAAGTTATACATGATAGATTTGTAGTTTCATGAACAATTATATTTTTTATTATACTACGTTGTGGAAATACATGTTGTATTCCATAAATTAAAAATTAATTAATTAATTGATCATGAAAACCACAACTACCCAAAAACATGTTGAATGCAATGCATAACAAAGATAGCCCTATTTTTCTCCAACATGTTATGTGGTCCCTTCTGCTCCACCTCCAGCATGAGCTAACAATATAGTTATGGTCTTCACAATCTCTCCTTTGCAATCCCCAATAACTGGCAATCAATCACTGTTCACATTGGTACCTTTGCATAGGCTGTCCCCTCCCCCCATCTCAGAGAGTCATCCCCAAAATGAAACTTTTTCAACTAAAAAGTTAAAAGAAAAAAACAATTTGAGCAAAATCAATTGATCAATTAATATCAAAAAAAATTTGACATAATTTTTGACATTACAATATGTAATGTTCTACCCCCACAGACCCCTCCACTTTAGCAAAGGAGTTAAGGCAGATATCTTCTCACAATCTTTTTGGGGTCAAGCTTATTTTTTGTAATTTTTCAATATTCATTTTTTAATTTTTTTGTGGATGTTGACCTATATGTTTACATTGTTGTGGATAATGTGTATGCTGTTTTTTTGGTTCTCTTTACTTCACTTTGTATCAGATTGTTTAAATCTTTCCATGTTTCTCTACATCATCATATTAATTTTTTTAATGGCAAATCCACCACATTAGCATACCATGCTTTGTTTAGCCCTTCCCCCAATCAATGGGTTCCCAATCCTTTGCTACCCCCAAAAAATGCTACTATAAAGATATTAGTGTACATGAAGCCTTTCTTTTTGTCAGTGTTCTCCATCCATGCATGCCTAGTAATGGAGTCTTCAGGTCCAAGAGTCTGGGCATCTTAGTCACTTTATTTGCATAATTCCAAATTGCTTTCCAGAATGGTTTAACTAATTAACAGCTCCACCAATAAAGCGTTAGCGCATCTCTCACAGAATGGAAAGTGAGGAATTAGGAATGCTATGTTGATTTTCCCCCCAAATAATTTAAGAATCTGCCATAATCATATAATTTTCTCAAGCTAGAAGACTTAATGTTTCATTTTTTATTATATTGTCCTTCCATTCAAAATGACCTGATTCACATAAATATATAATCATACATTCCAAAAAGGTCATAGCTTCTATACTAACTTCACATTTAGCCATGACTGTAATTTTAGAACATGAACTAATACACAATAAATATTTAAGTCAGGTTTGTAAAGAGCCACCCAAAAGTTTTTTAGCCCACATACATTTTTATAAGAATCTCTTCTCCCAAAAAAAAAGAACTCTTTTTAGGTGTAAATGGTGAGGGAGAGAAGTGATGTTTTATTTTGAAATTAATTTATCATCTACTTAGTGACAATTTCAACAGAAATAATAAAAAATATAAGAAATGACACCTTAAAATTATAAAGTTGCCACTACTTACATTCTGATAAAAGGGGGGAAATCCTATTTAACAAAAGAATAAAAATAACATCTTTATTTCTTTTTTTTTCTTTTCTTTTTGGTGAGGCAATCAGAGTTAAGTGACTTGCCCAAAGTCACACAGCTGGTTAAGTGTCAAGTCTGAGGTCAAATTTGAATTCAGGTCCTCCTGACTCCAAGACTGGTTCTCTATCCAAATATCTTTAGTTCTAACCTCTCTTTTGTTTGTGTGCTTATAAGATTTCATTGCTTTTTTTTAATGTAGTATAGATACTATCCATAATACTTTGATCTATTTCACTTACAATCAGAGTATCATAGGCCAAATATTCCAACCTCCTCCCACCACCACTTTGTATATCATATAATTTCTTAATTTTTCTTATTTTCCATTTTTATAGTATTCCATCTAATTTCTATATCCCAGTTTATTCTAACATTTGCCAATAGCTAGACATTCAAGAGAGCTGCAATAAGAGGAACGTCTACCCCCATGCCATCAAGGCTGGGTTTTCCTTAAAAGGTAATAAAGCAGTATATGAATGTAATAGAATACTATTGTGCTGTAAGAAACAGCAAATATAATGACTTCAGAGAAGCCCAGAAAGACTTACATGAATCGATGCAAAGTGAAGTGAGCAACGACAAGAAAACAAAATACACAATTATTACAACATTGCAAATGTAATGGATAGCCACCACAAAGCAATTGAAATGAATGCTGCAAAATTACAAAGCACAAGCTTGGCCCCAAAGAAGAGATACGAAAAGACACTTCTTCACTCCCCCCACACTCCTTTGAAGGGCTTATAAGAGAGAGTCTGGGCAAAATGTTGTCTATACTATCAGATTTTTTTCAATGTATTGGTTTTGAATGTTCTCCCCTTTCTCTTTTTCCTTTAAAAAAAAATCTTATTGCTTTGTTATAAGCAATGGATCACTAGGAGGGGAGAGTGGGAGAGGCACAGGAGAAAGCTAGGCAATTTGAAAACAAAAGACATCAATTTTAAAAAAAACGCTATTTTCAAAAAAAGTAATGAAGCAATTCTTGAGACATAATTGGTCCAGAGGTCTAAGGCTCAGACAATTCCCAGTCATCTAATTACAAAAGTTCAATGAAAAAAGGCATTAACTGATTCCTTGGATTGGGCACATTCTTCTGACCTGCATACCAAAATGGCCAAAAAAAAAAAAAAATAAAGCCACAGAGGAGCTGTGCCTAAAATAATCTGTGCCATATTTCTTGCTAAATATCCTTTAAATGTTATTAAGCAAATTTCTTCTTTGCTGGATATCAGATGGACTGCAAGTGTTTCAACCCAACCCAAGACCAAAAATGAACTTCAGAGGCTGGCCTGAGTCAGGCCTGGCCTTACATAATATCTTTCTATTTTTTACTAGATAAACAAATAAAACCTCTCTACATATTTCTATATGGATTACTTCAATTTTTCTTGTTCCTTTTAATAACTTTTCAGTAGAGAGATCACTAGATCAATGGATACAATCAGTCACCCGGGAACTTACTGTATGCTACCAATGGTGGTAGCTGGCATTTTATTTTTCCTGTATTGTACAAAGGCTTCCTTCCCTCCTTTCCCTTTGGGCAAGGCAATGTGTGTTTATTTCTACAACAGATTTTAACAGAATGATTTTTAAGTACGAGTCAAGAGAATCCACTCATTACCAAATGAAGACGTTGCCATGGTCGGGGGAAGAATTAGCGGAAAACTGGAGAGGTAAAGTTTCCTTGAGGTCTTTGTAACAAGGAGAAAACAAGGTACTAGAAACTCTCTTTATCCTTTTTGGTAATTTCTTGAATACATTGTTTAAATAAAAAAAGAAGAGGAATCTGTTAGACACAAAGTTTCCTTTAACGTTTAGACATTCTCTTTACTATTGAGGCAGTGGCTAAACCTTTGATAAAATCTGCCTTGGTAGCATTATTGCAAAGAAAAGAAACTATATACAGCCTCCATGTCTCATACTCCCAAACTGAGGTTTACAGATCATTATACTCAAGTTTACCTAGTGCCAAAAAAATGAACTGCACAAACCACTGCTGACAAGTTATCATAAGTATCCCTGGGTTGAAACTGAATACTAAGAAAACTACGTGTAATGCTCATAGTTTTTCAGTAAACCTGTTCCCCATCTGTTAGCACTGCATGGATCCCTAAACTACATTATTCTCCCTCATTTTCCCTTGTCCCACATAATTTAATAGCTGGGAAACTGGCCAGCCAGGGCTAAGATTCTCAGTCCACAGAAAACAAGAGTGTCAAAAACTGAACCATTACAGTAAGGAACACTAGCAAGTACAGGTTTTTTACTCAACAGCCTCTCCCCCAGATAATAGGTCTGTCATTTCCCAGACTCCTCATTTAAAGAGCTTCTTCCTTTAAAAAAAAAATCTATGTGTGCTAGCAAAGACTTTAAGTAATCCCATGTGTACCTTGGGAGAAACTTGACTGTTCATGGTGACAACCCTCACTAAACTGAGTCACTACCAGAAAGCAGCTGACAGGGTGGGGTTTGGGGAAGCTGTCCTGGATTTAGGCCACTGAGCAGATCCCAAAAACTGTCAGGGAAGGGCTCCATTTAAGTCATTTCACTACTTGGTTAAACTTCAGAACTCTTGAAGGAACCAACAATTCTGGTACAGCCCAAAGCAATTTCTCCTATCATTGATTATGTGGAAACAAGACTGGCAAGCATGTTGGGTTATACCAACAATAGCAACTGGGCACTGGCTTTTTCTCTCTGAAACATATCATTTCAGAACACAATCTAAAGTTACTATTTTCTAATTGCATCATGCTCCAAA